TTTTCGAACACCGCATGGGCACTATGAATTTCCGGTTATGCCATTTGGCCTATCCAATGCTTCAGCAACATTTTAGTCTTTGATGAATTCAGTGTTCAAAGATTTTCTTGGCAAATTTGTCACTATATTTTTTGACGACATCCTTGTTTATAGCCCATCCTTGGAATCTCACTTGGAGCACTTATCACAGGTCCTCCAAAGAATGCATGACCATTAACTCTTTGCAAAGAAAAGAAAATGTGTTTTCGGTCAATCATCCGTAGAGTACCTTGGTCATGTCATTACTGCAACAAGAGTATGCACAGATATTGCTAAACTACAAGCTATCCTTGACTGGCCACAACCAACAAACTTTAAACAGTTACATGGGTTTCTCGGCCTCACAGGATATTACAGACGCTTTATTCATGGATATGCTGCTATAGCACAACCTTTAACTTCTTTGTTGACACAAACAACATTCCAGTGGCTTCCAGAGTCCCAGTGTGCTTTTGATTCGCTCAATGCCACCATGACCTCCTTACCAGTTTTGGCCCTTCCAAATTTCTCCATACCATTTCAAGTTGAAACTGATGCCTCTGGAATTGCCATTGGTGCAGTTCTCTCTTAAGATGGGCATCCAATTGCCTTTTTCAATAAGGTCCTTTCCCCAAAGCTTCTTCGTTCTTCAACATATGTTCGTGAGCTTTATGCTGTTACTCAAGCCATTTTTAAGTGGCGTCATTATCTCTTGGGAACCCATTTTACTATCCTCACTGATCATCGTACTCTAAAAGAACTAATGAGCCAAACTGTCCAAACTCCAGAGCAACACCAGTACCTTAGCAAGCTTTTAGGATTCACATATGATATCATTTACTGTAGTGGCAATTCTAACGTGGTGGCTGACGCATTATCATGCAAACATGAGTTTGAACCACAATCTAATACCAGCTTAGCAGCAATATCTTCCCTTGATTGCAACTTGACCAAGGCATTACAATCTGAAGCTCAAAATGACCCAGAATTGCGACGTATTCTTAATGATCTCCATAAAGGGGACCCACTTCCAGGATACTCTATAAAAAATGACACTATCTTTTTTAAAGATCGTATAGTATTGGCAGCCCACTCTCAATACAAGCAAAGGCTCATGGAAGAAATACATTGCACTCCAATGGGTGGGCATACAGGTTTCCTTACCAACTTATAAACATTTGGCTACTATTTTTGTTTGGCCCAACATGCATAAAGATGTTAAAGAATTTGTTAAAAACTGCATAACTTATCAGCAAAGCAAGTATTCCAGTGAGAAACCAGCAGGCCTACTACAACCTATCCCAATTCCAACATCTGCATGGTCAATGGTTACAATATATTTCATTATTGGGCTACCATGTTCGGCAGGATCTACAGTCATACTTGTTACTATTGATAAGTTATCTAAATCTACACATTTCGGTGCCTTGCCTACCCATTTCAATGCACATTCTGTTGCTAAGCTATTTACTAGTATAGTGGTCAAACTCCACGGTTTTCTTGTAATCATTATCTCAGATCGAGACTCTATATTCCTGAGCAAATTTTGGTCCCAACTAATGCGCTTTAGCGGCACCACCTTACGACCACGGCTTATCATCCACAAACTGATGGCCATTTGAAGTGCTCAATCGATGCTTAGAACAATATCTATGTGCCTTTGTTTTTTCCTACCCTATGGCTTGGACATCCTACCTCCATTGGGCTGAGTTCTGTTATAATACTTCTTATCATTCTGCAATAGGTATGACCCCCTTCCAAGTACTTTATGGGCATGAACCTTCTCCTATCCCAGGCTATACACCAAGTTTGGCAACAGTTGATTCCCTGGATGAGAGTCTCCAGCTCCGCACCGAGCTGCTTCTATCTCTTACTTTGCAGCTTGTAAAAGCCCAACGTCGCATGAAGCGCATTGCTGATCGACATTGCCAAGATCGTTCTTTTAGGACAGGGGACTAGGTTTGGTTTAAGCCGCAACAACATTGCCAACACACGCTTGGCAAATGACTCAGCCATAAATCGGATCGTAGATATGTTGGCCCATTTCAAGGTCTACACAGTGTTGGTCCAATGGCATACAAACTTGCTCTCCCTACTGATTGCACTGTTCACCTTGTGTTTCGCGTGAGCTTACTCAAAGCCTATCATGGCCCTACTTCTTCACAACCACTCGCAGTATCCGCCCAAGAGTTTCAAAAAGCACCTTACCCTATCCTAGGGGGATACTTAGTGTTCGCAATCTTGCACATGGCACGACAATAGTAATCCAATATTTGGTCGATTGGGATAAGCATGATCAACATGCTGCTTCGTGGGAAAATGTTGATCTCCTTCGTTCACTATATCCCAACTTGCACCTAGTCGATTCTCCTTTTCCGAGCCTTGCGAACAAGGCTCATTTCAGACCTAGGGATATTGATACAGTTACAGCAGTTAGGCATCACCACGAAGAGGATTTGGTACAACAGAATAAGATAACTATAACTAACAATATGTAAGTAGCCTTTGCAAACAAATTATAAATAAGAATACTAAATCAACATAAAGGATAGATAGGAATATACAAGGAAGTCTAAGAGGAGAAGTTCCTCTCTGTATTCTCTCGTCTTATCAACAACAAAGTTTATATTGGTGGAAGCTAACAAAAAGTGTCAATTTTATACATCGACACTACTATTTTTATATTTAAAAAAATTGTGTTGTTATTTATTAAACTGACACTAAAAATTAAAAAATTAAAAAATATTATGTGTCAACGATACTTTTTATTACACTTATTTATTCCTATATAGACACATAATTTGTTTCTCAATAACCCTATATTGAGAAATAGTTTCTCAAGTTACCTTGTTTAGACAAAAAAAATCATCTTAGATAAAACTAACAGTGAAAACAGAATTCGAATTTAATAATTAGTAACCTATGATAACTTGATTGTTGAATTGAATGGAAAATCGATCTATCATTCATCACTTTTAATTTGTTTATTCCGTTCTATGTTTTCAATTAATCATACTCATTCAACCTTCAAGCCCTCCCTTTTTAATTATTGTTAATTTATATTAGATTTAATGTGTGTATGATATTTAGTTTAGTGATCATTATGTCGAGAAACATGACCTAGGTTGAGTTACCTAATACAACACTAATTTTGCATAATTGTTTTGACAAAAAGTGGCTTTGATCACTGACACAAATAACCATAATATTTACCTTATATTTTAGACATTCAAAGAACAATATACCAATATTTTCTTTTGTTTGTGAGACTCTAATAATTAGTCTAAACCCACAATAGAAAATTCTACTATTCCGTTCCCTGAATTGTAGTAGTGATGACCTTGAAAATGAAATCATAATAAAGATTTTATTGCTATTAACAATCATTCAAAATGTATCAACATAGCAATTAGAAACAACAGACGCACAACAAAAATAATGAAAAGGAAGCTAACCAAAGATGCAAATGTATATGGTAAAAAAGAATGAGAAGATTTGCATAATTAGGGTACCACTAATCGAATAATGAAACAATATCTTCCTTAGTTATCTCAACATTCACACTTACTAGTCTAATATAAAATATTAGCATTATTTTATAGTGTATGATTCAAAATACTGAAATTGAAAATAGAGATTAGAGACTAATATAAAATTTTAAAAATTCTAAAACCTAAAATAGCTTACACTTATTGACTCAAATATTAAATTCATAGTTAGTCAATCTCTATTATAATACCACTTTTTTACTTTAAAAAATAATAATTTTAAAAATTATATTGTTTAATTATATAATTCTAATAATACTCTTTTTAATATATTCATGAAATAATAAATACTTTTTATAATTTTTAAAAATAATATTCTCATTTTTAATTTTTTATTTTATTTTAAACTTCTTAACGTTATACTTTTGAACACATATTTAAAAAAATCTTTCTATAAACCTACGTATTATTTCTTTTCTAGTTAACTAACCATTTTCTATATAAGGTTTATATTTTTTATTAATTTAATTTTTACACTCTTAATTCCTTAAAGTCAACCTTAAAATATCTCTAATAATACAAGTCCTTAAGTATCTCTATCATAATAAATCACTTTTTAACTTTATAAAATTTAATCAGTTTTTTAATTATTTTTTCAATTATAAAATTTTAATTAATAAATTTTATATATTATTTCTTTTTTGTTAAAATATTATTTATTTTATGCGACGTGACTCAACTTATAATACGATTTGAGATCCTAAAAAGAGTTAAATGTTTAATTTTATGTTTTTTTATATTATATCTAAATTCCAAGTTTAGACCAAATAAATTGTCCCGTAATACAGGAATAGACAACAAATAATATAAAAAATAAGTATTTTTTTAATTTGAAATAATAGTCTTTTTTTTATATTTGAAATAATAGTCTTTATATTTAATTTTCTTTGTTTTAAAATAACAGTCATTTTATAACTTTAACGTAGAGTTATTTTTTTAATTTTCTATTTAAGATAATTATCATTTTGAAATAGATATTTTATCTTCTTTTCATTTATTTATTATATAAAAAATTTTAAAATGAATATAATAAAAAGCTTCATCATTAAAATAAAATAAATAAATATATTTCTAAACTTTTACCTTATAACTTTAAATGATTTTTTTTTCAGAAGAAAAATATATTTATGCAAAATATGATAAGCAATTAATCCTCTCATGCAATTCCCAACGTCTCACTCCAACTAATTCAACGGTGTAACTTATATATATATATATATATATATATATATATATATATATATATATATATATATATATATATATATATATACTTATTAGGTAAAACATCTTAAGCAATTTCCGTTAAAATTGTTTTGTGGAATTTACTAAATCATTTATCAGAATGGAATTTAATTAATTTTATGAAAATAGTATATTCTCTCTCACTACCCACAACCTTAAAGCCGCCATCATCAGTTACCCGTTATCACTACAGTGATTTTATAAGTTGATGCCTTACCTTCCGACCACGACCATGTCCGTGTCCGTGTCCGTGTCCATTGCCCACAACCTTAAACCCACTATCTCGGTCCTCCCTTCCCATTCTCTGCACCACCCTTCGTCTTTCCCATTACGATTTTCATTCAAAGCACCCATCTTCTGCTCCAATCCTTCAGTTCTCACCCGAAGACTCTTCCTTCCGTCGGTTTCCGGCATCTGGGACGCCTTGACCGGCGGCAACAACAATGCCCGCGAAGCCGTTCTTGCAATTCGACGTGGAATGTCTCTCTTCCGCCAGGTTTGTTTTCCAAAGTAGCAGCTTCTTTCATCATCCTCACTTTTTCTTTTTATGCATCTTCCTTTTGTGCCAATTCGGTTTTTTGTCACACGTCTTATTTTGTGCTTGTAATTAATTTGTTAAGGGTGATGTTCCGGGGTCTCTTGCCGAGTTCGACAAGGCAATTCAGTTGGACCCTCGTCAAAAGGCGTGTACGTTTATACTTTCTGGAGAATAATACTTCTAATTACTCCATCAAATTATGAGTATCAGTTAACTTCATTGTTATAAAATTTTTAATGGTTAAAATGGCACTTCATTGTTTTAATGATATATTTATTATATTTTTTTCATTTTCTCTTAATAAATGAAATTGGTGATAACTTTATTTAAAACTAAGAAGAGTAAATGTTGATAGGGAGTTTAGGTTCAATAGTATTAAATGAGGTTAGCATTGTTATAATTTTTTAAAAAAACTCAAGAAACTCAACTACTTTAACTTATTCTATTGATTTACATTCTTGTTAAAATCATTTTATAAAAAGGAAAAGAGAGAGTATTATTTTAGTCCTCGTAGTTACAAAATAACAGTTCTTTTGGTCCTTGACGTTATAGACTAAAATGACCCATATTTAAGGTGTCTGTTTGGATAATTGCTTATTTAAGCACTTATTCAACAAACTTCTTTTAAATCAATTGCTTATGTCTTAAATTTAATGATATAAATTATTAGGATAAGCTGAAAAAACTTATTTTAATAAACTATACCAATAAGTTTATTGAAATAAACTAAAAACAGCTTAAGAGGACCTAAGCTGATTTATATAAGTTGTTTATAAGCTCTTCCAATCATGGAGTTAATAATGTTAGAGGCTAAATTGATTGATACTTATAATTTTAAAAATTAATTTAGTGTATTACTCTTTTTTGGAAAAAGCTCGTATGACTTTGGAGTATTGATATTTTCGTTATGGACATTGTTACCAGATCTTTGGCAAAGGGGGCTCTCACTTTACTACCTTAATAGGTAAATAAAGTACACCTTTTTCAGATAGAATCGTTGTTGAAATTGTTAGTGACAAATTCAAATGGAAATAGGTGTTGGTAAGCGCAGTTACAATGTGCTGCATCAGAATATTTCAAAAGGAGACTGAATTGGATCCCTTTTGCCGTAGATTTGAAGAGGGAGCTGAGCAGTTTCGGTTAGATGTTGCACAAAACCCGAATGATACAGAAGAATCCATATGGTGTTATCTGTGTGAAGCTCAACTATATGGAGTGGAGGAAGCAAAGAAGCGATATCTTGTGGCAAGTCATTGATTCTGTCACTAAGAACAAGCAAGTTAACTTTATAAAGGAACATGTAACTATTCAAGTAATTATCCACTTTCTAAATGAATTTAGGTTGGCAAAGACCCAAGGCCAGTCATGCGGGAAGCATATAACATGTTTAAAGACGGTGGAGATCCTGAAAAGGTGTGCTTAATGCCCTTCTCAATTAAAATTAAGTTATTGCTGTTGGATGTAAAACTATGCTTTAGTCTTCCCCTAATAGCTTTAGCTAGTTTTAGGAGAGTTAGTCCTGGATATTTACCTCATAATCTGGTAACTCTGAGCCATTGTATTTGTCTGATCTAATTTTCACGAATGCTGATATGTTTCTTATGTTTGCTCAAATGCTATAAAGTTGAGCTTATCTTCTTGAAGATTAATTAATATGCTGTTGATGCCATATGTGAAGAGGACACTGCTTGTTCCTCCGCCTATTAATCTATTACTAAATTTAGTAACTTGGAAAGTCTCTTGAATTTTTTTTCATACAAATAATAGAAATTTGAATGAAAGATCGACTTCTTTTTGGTGAGAAGATAAGAAGGGGAAAATTAGCAATGAGGATGTTTGGAGGCTGATATTTATCATCAAGGAACTGTTAATCACATCTGCAACATATTGGCAGAGACTAAATTATATCAATTTGAAATCTAGGAAGGTGACATTATTCAAATTGAAAATAAAAGGTCAATACTTCAACCTTTTTAGAATCATTTGAAGAGTGAAGGACCAAAAGTGTTGATAGCCTAATTTTTTTGGCTTTTGATACCATAGGCTCTTTTTTATTTTTTTTGTTTATTAAAATTTATATGTTCGACGCTTAAAGATACCATATTTACAATTTTTACCTTCTCATTGTTTGTTTTATCAAACTGTTAGCTTATAACCAGGTTTGCAATACTTATCTACCTTCACTTCACTGTATAGAAGGCTATAGAATTTTTTTATTTGACTCTGTTATTGGCACTCTAAGATTCCCCATGCCTTTGTGAATGCAATCTGACATAATTAATTGATTTGCCTGTGTAGCTTGTGGCTGCATTTTCCAGTAGCAGAGAAAGTGACTATTTTTATTCTTCATTATATGCTGGTCTTTATTACGAATCTCAGGTATTCTTTTATTAGTTTACGCATTTTATTATTAGTTTGGGATTGGTAAGCACAATTGTTGAGTTGAAGAAAGTGGACCAAACTGGAATCTTGTGTATTAATGATTTTTCCATGTGTAGAACGAAACAGATGCTGCTAAAGTTCATATAGTTGCTGCATGCCAATCTTCTTATGGGCAAAGGTTTGATTTTGAATATGTACACATTTCTTAGCTAGACAAAGACTGCAAAAGGAAAACATGAAAGATGTCCACTCTTCAATGCAGGTCTGATGATTATATGGCTTCTCTTTCCAAGGTTCATTGTCTCTGTCGAAATTGGGTCTAATATTTTAAAATGTGTTCACTGAGCACGATCAGTTTCTGTATACACTACTCATTAGCTTTTGTTACTGTGCTACTGGAACGGTTAAGAGAATTTATCATATTCCTTTACCTTTCCACATGATTTGGTGATCCGAATATTAGCAGACTAGTAGAAAAAATTCTAACATTATTGAAATAATGAAACTATTATTTCATAGACTTCGGTTTTTAATCAAGCCTAATTTTCATGTGATTTATGTTGTGAATTTCAGTTAAAGAAATAAAAAATTTTGTTGTTGCCGTGTTGAAATAATGAAATTACTTTCCGATGAGTACATTATCATTTGTTTTCTATGAGGTTGATTTTGCTTAGATTATGATTATTTCTCTTTTTAAAAATAGTTTTTCTTTTTAAAAATAAAATATAATACAAATTTATATTATTTTTTATTTTTTAAAAAGAAAAACAAACATACTCATAGTGTTCCAAATAATATTTAAGTCGTCTTATTACATGAATATTGAAATTTAACTCAATGAAGGAAATGCACAACTTCCGCAAATGTGGTCTATCTCAATATAGGATTGAGTTTAATCAAATTTAGAAATTTAGGCGACTGATGTAAATAATCTGTTGTGGATTAATATGATGCATCTCTTAGTAGTATCATTATAATTGTTCCAAGGTGAGAGATACGTGGGACCGTGTTGCACATGAATCCAAATCATCTCTCATTTTTATATGTTCTTTGTCCCTCCAATGGAAAACAATACATCACCGATTGTTATTTATTTTTTGTTGATCTATCATTTTTCTAATTTAAAAAAATAAGGAAAGAAACAGATAAATACACCAGTGATTTGAAGCCATTGGTCGTGATCAACACGGAAATACCTACAATTCTTATTTCGAAAGGATTATAATGTTTATTTACTCTTTAAGGATAGATGGACACAATGGTGACTTGCATGTATTTATGTATTGATCAAGTACATGTGCAACCACAACTATATCAATATTTTAATTTTATTTAAATCTTAAGAATGGAGGAAATTTGAAACTTCAAGCGAGAGTGATGCATGATATTCACACAGCGATTTAGGGTCACATGATGGAGTCTTACTAAAGTATATGCGTTAAAGCATAGATCTAATAACTTCTGGCTAAACATAGCTTACTTTTAGGTTACAGTGGGTGATATAGTCTTTTTCTTGTTTTCTTTTGGCTTAAATCATACTATAATGGACAGTTGAAAAGATGAAAAACACCAAAAGCGAAATGATGTAATGGGTAGGAGATATTGCATGACTGCTCCAGCTAATCATATGTTCAACATTTGTCCTAGTCTCATGGTGGATGTTTTTCTATTGTTTCTTTCCCATTTCAATAAATTTTTTGGGTTAGTAGAACCCCACATTGGTCTTATGTTAGCATACTACCTAAAGCGCCCCAAGTTGACACGCAATTATGCAATGTTAAGGCAATGTCGTACTTTGTGTGTTTGTGTATTTCGTGTTTTTGGTGCTAGACTGTTTCAAAGCTACTTGAGTGAATAACATACACAAAACCAGAAATTGATGGTTCGCAATCCATTTTGTTAAATGAATGGCACACAATTTGTGTTCAAAACAAGCACCAATTATTTGTTTAGTTATCATGACTTGGCTTCTTGATGGTGGAATATAGAATCAACAAGCATCCAATTGAGGTAAGATGCCAAACCGTATTAACTTGAATTTGTTTTATTAAGGAATATCAATCATAAGCCATTTTGGCATATTCTCAGTTGCAAGCATCAAAAGTTGGATATTCTCTTTCAAACAGAGGGATATACCGTGTCCATTTTCAGCTTATGTGCATTAATCAGTTCCCTCTTTTACCAAGTTGCCCTCCGTTTCACCAAATGACAATGAGGCTTTCAGGAGGCTCAAATCATTAGCATGTCCACAAAAACAGCAATAGCCGCATCATTTTAAGGACCAAATCATTAGCATACACACTTGCATTCTTACTTCATTCCACAACCACCCAAGTTAATATAGAAAATAACGTTATTCCAACAGAAAATTACCACACAATATATACTCTCTTTTTTTAATTTCTCTCATTATTACGAATTACCGTGAGAATGTCTAATATGAAACTCGGTAACGTACCAATTGTCATTTTATACCAATAATTTAATATTTTGTGAAATATATTTATAAGTTTTATACGGAAAGTGAAGAAAAACGGAAACCTACGACAAAAACTATAAAACCTGTGTTGTGTTGTCTTGGGTCCGGTTCATTAAATAAAGCAGTTAACTGGTGAAGTGGGTGTGTTGGAAAGTCCATGTCGTCTGAACCGCTAATTCAACCGTCGGAAGCATTGTCAACATCTCAGTCTTTCCGGCGATGCAACGAAACGGGGTGGATTTTCGAAGAGTTACCCAAAGCCACCATCGTTTCCGTGTCGCGACCAGACACCGGAGACATTAGTCCCATACTCCTTTCTTATACCATTGAGTTGCAGTACAAACAGGCATACACACATATACTTGTTTCATTCATTTTCTCTTCTTCCTTTTCAATGTTAAGTAACTTCAATTTTCTCTTCTTCAAGGAAGATGAGTTGGAGATGATAATTTTTAAGAGTTTTATGCTTGTGGTTTAAGTTATTGGAGCTGAGTCAAATATTATTTGGTTAATTTGAGCGTGAAAGATGAAAAAACTGCTCTGGTCTTGTTTTCTTTTGTTTTTGCCAAGTGATCTTCGATGGGTGATTTTAATTTCTTTAGCCACTTTATAAACTCTATTGAGTAGCCTCATTGGATCATATTCTATTATGCCTACAATTGGAAAGATGTTAAGACTGAAGAGAACTATAATTGGAAATCATTCTTTATGGATTGTTTTGCCTATTTGAATATTTTGCACAGTGTCATTCGATATTCTTAGTAATAATTTTATTATCTATTTATGGTTACCCCCTATGGCTTGTTATGGATTTTAATATGTCTAGGTGTCAATATGTGTCTTTACACATTCATTGAGGGTCCTTCTACGAGTTTTGGTCGTTCAGAAACAATATGAATGCCAGTTAATTACAGTTTACAACTTAATAATTTATATATATCCTTTTGGGACCTAGACTATAATATAAGCTTTTGATGTAATGAATTATGTTGTCAAGTGGTGCAGTTCAATCCAACTAATGTGAAGGCATTTGTTTCATTCGGATTTCACAGTTTAAGTGGCGTCTACTGAAGAAAGCGTCACAAGTTCTGTATTTGCAGTTTGCCTTGAGGAAACGTGCATTAATTGAAGACCTTCACGACAAGCAAGAGCAGGTTTGTGCAATATATGTTGCATTTTACTCCCCAGTCTCACACATCGATACAAGTTCCATTCCATGATTAGATGACTTTTCATATTACTCTGTTGTTATTAAGTGAAGATACATGTTTCCAATAGTTTTAGTTTCCTTCATTATATTTATATAAGGATTCAGCCTAATTTCTAATATTTAACTTTCTCCTGAAGGTAAAAGAATGGCTTCAAAACTTGGGAATGGTAGATCAAACGGTAATGGTGCAAGATGATGAAGAACCTGATGATGGAGCAGTGCCTTTACATCATGAGGGCAGTGTTAAAAGCAGGTATTTTAATTTTTATCTCCATAAAATAGAAATCTGCTATCTGATACATTTTTAAACTATCAATGCCTTAACGTGTGCTGCACTTAGGTGTCAGGAACTTAATGATTTATATGTGAAGTACTTCTTAGGTGTTGGCCTAGAGCTTCCCATGATTAATTTGGTCACAAAGCATGGTATATTTGATTTGTAAAATAGGGTACCAGGTGCAGAAGGGGTTGAATCAGAATTTCCTGTCTTGAATCTTGATTACACTCAATACTACTAGCCTTTCCAAAGCTGAGCATTTTGATGGCACAATATTCATGTTATTTATATTAATAGAAATATACAGTTATTTACATTTCTAACATCAAGTTATACCAAATAAAGCCTTTTATATTTAGTAGCTATAATTCCTTATGTTTTCTTTTTCAAAAGTCTCAAACAAACATACTTATTAATTTGGTTTTTTGTAAAGATATGTTCCATCGGTTGCTGCTTTATCAATAATTCGTCCATCACTAGGAGGGCAGCAGTCAGTTGCAGATAGAGCCAAAGTCGCAATGCAGGGTTATTTGAATCATTTTTTAGGAAACCTGGATATTGTGAATTCTCCAGAGGTAACAACAAAGCTTCAAAGGTGACAATTGTTGCATTTGCATGGATAATACTTAGCAGATGTTCATACAAATGTAGGGGATGTTGTTCATGGGTGGCATTAGGTTCTGCATCTAAAAAAGTGAAATCAAAATGGGGTTCAAATGACTGTTTATACATATAGCAGGACCACAGAAATCTGTTTTATATACACAGATTTAATTTTTTGATGTTCCTTTACCATGTATGTAATATGAGTTCTCCAGAGCTGAAATTATCTTTCCTAACATATGGTTTTGAATTATAGGTCTGCAAGTTTTTGGAGGTCTCTAGGCTATCTTTTTTACAGGAGTATGGTCCAAAACTGAAAGAAGGATATATAACAGTGAACCATTTGTCAAATATTTCACAGGATTCATATGTATCATGCTTCCCTTGTGATTGGTTTCGTTGTTTTAATAACAAGTGGAAGAAGGTTTGGTTCTGAAGTTCATTTTAGTGACAATTTATAAATGCCCTATGCTATCTCAGTGATCTTTGGATATAAATTTACTGACCTTTCTTCTAAGTACTTGTCTTATTTTCACTTGTCTAAGTGGAATATAAGTCAACATTTTCCTGACATACAGTTAATCCTTACCTTTACTGTGAATATTTGCTGTCACATATTGTGCATTACTGAGTTTTATGGCTGAATGCTCCAATGCTACGTCAGCAATGGTAGATACTAGATAATGTTTAGCTTTAAACACAACATTTAGTTGGCATTACATGGTTTATCTCTAGCATTCTCTCTATAAACACCTTCAGTTACCTCGATGATATAGTGATTGTAAATTGGGTTAGTAGTTTTTGTTTTTAGGTTTTTTATTTCGTAAGTAGGATTTTGATTCGATATTATTTTGCTATTTGGGATTTTATCTTAGACTTTGTTGATTTTATCATATTAGGGATTTTATCTTGATTTGGATTATGTGATATTAGGTCAGAGTTTTCTTATCGTTTGGATTAGGTTAGTTGTTTTCTTGGTGAAAATATTTGAGGCTTTTGATTAATTTATGATATTGAGTTTTTCTTATTTAGAAAGTATATATGATATTTGAGCCAGAGGAATACTCTGCCCTAGAAGAGTATTGTAGGTTTATCATATCAAGGGAGTACGCTGCCAAGAAGAGCACTCTTGGATTGTTCTTCATTAACAGAAAATTGAATATTACTGTCATAATATTGTGCTTATACATTTTACAATATTCTCTTGGACTTCATTGGCTGTAAATGCCCACTACATGTTATGTTTCAAGTCATATTTCTGTATGGAGCTCGACGGATAGATCTATAAAAATATTGACAAATAAATGAACTACTCTGTCAGTATGTATAGAGTATTAGCCGTGACCTATCAAATGTTTTTTTTTTTTCTCTATTGGGTTCATTTTGACCGATTAAATTTGTTAACATTAATGGATAGTAATTTGAAATGATTTCATAAAATGTTAAATTAGGGAACAGATTTAAAACATGTAATACCTCTAATATAAAAATCCCACTTTATATATACATGGTCTCTGCAACTGGTTTTTTCATTTCATTTAATCTTAGTTATATAATCTAGATTACATTGTCTGCACACAGGTATGGGCTGTTTTGAAACCTGGGTTTTTGGCCTTGCTGGATGATCCTTTACACAACAAACCATTGGATGTAATTACTTTTGATGTCCTCCCACCCTCAAAGGAAGATGGAGGCACCAAAATATATTTAGCTGATCCTATAAAGGAACGAAATACATTCAAGGTGATCAAATTTGTCTTAGTCTTTTCGACCTTGATTAAAAATAGTTTAGTCTCTATTGGACTATCTATTCTTTTTTATCGTAATTAGTCAAAGAAAGTATATTGAACTTGACATTACAAAATTATGAAGTAACTCTTTTTAGATTTCCTGTTAACTAATATGACAACTGTCAACAACAAAGAGGATCAAAGGCTTACCTTCTTCAGAAATTGTTCTCAGCTTCTTTTTTCATTTTCTCTTTAACCATTAGAAATATTGGTCATCAAATTTAATGCTGCAGAATCTATAGCCTATTGGTCTCAGAAGAATTTAGTACAAGAACAACCAGTTTATTGGAGAAAACCTGTGACAACAAATTTCATTTTTGCTTCCAAAATTTATTAAAAATTATTTTAAATTATTAATAGGTTACTAGTGGAAATAGGAGCATATGGTTGAGAACCACCAGCAATGCTAAAGTAAAAGCTTGGGTTACTGCAATTAATGAAGCTGGTCTAAGACCCCTGGAGGGTTGGTGTTGTTCTCATCGCTTCGGTTCATTTGCTCCCACACGAGGTTTGACAGAAGATGGGAGCCAAGCCCAATGGTTTGTAGATGGGCAGGCAGCATTTGAAGCAATTGCTTCTTCAATTCAAGATGCAAAATCAGAGGTATATATTACCAAGAGTAAATATAAGTTCTTTTAGTTTCCTAATTCAATTCTTAATAATATGAGGATGGAAACTGGATGCAGATATTCATTACAGGTTGGTGGCTGTGCCCAGAGCTATATCTGAGACGGCCTTTTCATTATTTTTCTACCTTTAGGTTAGACTCATTATTAGAAGAAAAAGCCAAGCAAGGGGTTCAGGTAAACATACTATTCTCTTTGATATTAATCACTTCTGTCTGTGATCTTCATAGTCAGAAGCTTCTATGCTTTATAAGATTGAATTTTAGTAAAGAGAATTCTGCTTATGATTATACAGATCTATGTGCTTCTCTACAAGGAAGTTTCTCTAGCTTTAAAAATCAACAGCTTGTACAGTATGAGAAGACTGCTCAAAATTCATGAGAATGTGAGGGTACTGCGCTATCCAGATCATTTTGCTGCTCGTGTATATTTATGGTATGTATAAATGAAGTTTGAACAACATCTTAACATAAATTCAGGTGAACCTTTTTCAAGTGTATATGATGAATACTGGCTTGGCTTCTTACAGGTCACACCATGAAAAACTTGTCATTATTGATTACAAGATTTGCTATATTGGAGGATTAGATTTATGCTTTGGTCGTTATGACACACCTGAGCATAAAGTGGGTGATTGCCCCTCTGTAATTTGGCCTGGAAAGGATTATTACAACCCAAGGTCTTTTTTCCTATTTTGTTTATAAAAAAACATGGAATTTTTTTTTTGAAACAGTGTAGCTACTGTATATGTTACAATAAGAAAAGGTCCAAGTATCTTAACGCTCCAATGTAATGCATTTAGCCATGTCTTATACGTATTACATTTAGACATGTTGGATCGTTGCTGTTTTGTCTTGTTGATGAGTGATGACATCCAAAATTTGGATTGTCGCTCGGTGCTATTCTAAGATTTCAGAAATATTATATAATTTCTGTAATTTTTGTTCATTGATAGAGAATCCGAACCTAATTCATGGGAAGAGACCATGAGAGATGAATTGGATCGTGAGAAATGTCCCCGTATGCCATGGCATGATGTCCATTGTGCTCTTTGGGGACCTCCTTGTCGTGACATTGCTCGGCACTTTGTTCAACGTTGGAACCATGCTAAGGTATAAATGATGTTTTTTCATCTTACATGTTTCTTTTAATTATCATCCTCGTCCTCTCTTATGTGTTGAAACACATCACAGAGAACTAAAGCTCCAAATGAACATGAAATTCCACTACTTATGCCTCACCATCACATGGTCCTCCCTCATTACATGGGAAGAAGCAAAGAGATAGACATTGATGAAAAGAAAGATGAAGACAAGCCGAAAGAAATAGAAAGGCAGGATTCATTTTCCTCAGAGTCTCCAATGCAAGATATACCACTACTTCTACCTCAGGAAGCTGGTGGACTAGTTATTTCAAATGGAGATAATGCAGATTTTAGTGAAAATTCTCCATTATTGTCACAAGAGCTGGAACATGAAACTTTAGTTTCAGACACCCAGGTGAAAGGGTTTCAAGATGAAGTTGTTCCTTTCAATTTGGAGGAACAATCTGTTGTTGATGCTCTAGACAATTGGTGGGAAAATTCAGGACGTACCAATGATGACACTACTTTGGAATATGGGCAAGTTGGTCCACGTACTACCTGCCACTGTCAGGTTAGTTATGATGTCTTCTAGATCTTATATGTAAAATTTAAAGTTTTTCATCTTTGTACCAGCCCTTGAATAAATAGTTTCTTTCTTAAAACAGTCCAGTGTCACCAACATAAGATTACAAATACACATTATTCTACATTTGCAGAAATTCCTTATAAAAGGGGAAAAACTTTACAATAGTGTGAAGAATAACTATTTTTTGGATGACATGCCATGTGAAAGTTGAGAAAGAAGAAAATTGAAACTTGCAAGCCTATAAAGTTATCCGAAACCATTTGCTTAATACAGAAGATGTAAAAACTATAAAAAGAAATTTGCAAATTTTGCTCTTAGAATATTTCTGGGAAGAATCATTTTACTGTTTCTGTTTGGGTTTGTAATGTGATTACATTTACTTGTACCAAAAAAATTGGTCATATTTACAGTTGTTTATTCATATTCATGCACGGAATCTAGCACAACATATTGGCTCTTAGTTTGGGAACTGTCCTAATTTATGTCAATATAATTTTGCATAATTATTTATCGGCCACAATCTTGGTTGGATGTGAATTCCACAGGTCATCAGAAGCGTCAGCCAGTGGTCAGCTGGAACAAGTCAGCCTGAAGAAAGCATTCACATTGCATATTGTTCTCTCATTCAAAAAGCAAAGCATTTTATCTACATTGAGGTAAATTAATTATGGGGAACTGTACTTCCCTTGAGCTTGCTTCAATATTGATAACTATCTCCTGTTTAGCATTGCAACAAATGAAATGTATATCTTCATGGTGATCTCAATATAAATGTTTAACTTTTTTTTTTTCTTGTGCATTATCAAATACTTGAGGAAACATAAGGGAATTTTTTTTATTTTATTGTGCTTAACAAATTTGAATGTCATATATGATTGAGTAGCATTGCTTCTTTTTATAAATTTTTCCTGTGAGGAGTATCTTAAAATATTTGGCCTTTGGGGTTGTTATGCGGTAAACGTATGAAAGTTAGTCAGTAAGGTATTCATTTCCCAATCTTTGTATCGGGTCGGTTGAAGCCTGGCAGACAAGATCAAGATCCAAAGCCATGATATAAAATCATCATCTGCAAGCCATATTTAAAAAGTACCACTTTGGGAATTATTTTAGTACAGGTTAGGTAAGAGCAAAACTTAATACCACATGCGACACCTACAACCTACAAATTATGTTGAAGTGCTGACAAGCAGATGTTAATATAAGGATCAAGACACACACTGCACTTTTGATGCTAACACTGTTAATGTCTATTAAACAAAAATATGGATTTTAATAAAATACAAGAACATGGAAACAGACTCTAGATTTGATAGAACTCAGTATTATTTTTTACATTGGTGATTGCCACTTTACCCTCTAAAGTGCAGGTGCACTTTGAGGATCCCTATCCTTAAGATAATAACCTGTGTTAAAGCAATATTAGGTCTGTGATAACTATTGAATTAAGTTGACTTGTTGCTTATATTATGCATGTATCATAGTGGTAACGTACTGAAGAATTTCAAACTTCTGACAAATAAAAACTCATCCCCCATCCCCCCCCCCCCTCCTTCTCTTTGTCTTTCTCATTTTGTTTTCCATTCAGAACCAGTTTTTCATATCAGGTCTAGCAGGGGATGACATAATACAGAACCGTGTCTTGGAAGCACTATACAGGCGAATTTTGCAAGCCCACAAAGAACAGAAAGATTTTAGAGTTATAATTGTGATGCCCCTATTGCCTGGATTCCAGGTAATGATTACCTTCTTATAATATCAATTCTCTTTTCTGTAGACGTGGATCTTTTATTGCTATGAACTGTCATTAACAGGGTGGTCTGGATGATGGTGGTGCGGCTACTGTGAGAGCCTTAACCCACTGGCAGTATAGGACAATTTCTAGAGAAAAGCACTCCATATTACACAATCTTGAGGCTATACTTGGTTCTAAGACACATGATTATATTTCTTTCTATGGTCTACGATCTCATGGTAGACTTTATGAGAATGGTCCTATGGCTACAAGTCAGGTATCTTATCAAAAACATCAAATTAGGGATAGTTTCATCAAATATTTCACCAATACCCTAAGGGCTTGAAAACAATGCAGTGTGGATCTCCTGTGTTTAGCTTTTACAATGATTTAATTGCATAAATGTTCTCCTTGTTTGATGTATATTCCCATACTTGTACAGGTATATGTACACAGTAAATTGATGATAATTGATGACCGTGTAGCTTTTATTGGATCATCTAATATAAATGACCGGAGTTTGCTTGGATTAAGAGACTCTGAGGTGCATTTGATGTTTGCTTTGTTACTATAATATACTATTTCTAAGAGCATGTGTAATTTTTATAATGTTCTTCAACCAGATTGGAGTGCTCATAGAAGACAAAGAATATGTTGAATCATTGATGAATGGAAGTCCATGGAAGGCTGGGAAATTTTCTTATAGCCTCCGCTGCTCCCTATGGTCTGAGCACCTTGGTCTTCAAACTGGAGAGGTAAGTCAAAATTATCAAATGAGTTTTTTGGCTACATCGTTGCAACAAACACAGGCTTTGCCTAGCAGTTTATTTGTCATTGATTAATGGTAAGAATAAACAAGTTAGGGAAATTTAGATACCTTGACTTTTAATTTTCTTATTATTGGATTGATGAACTAGTACAAATGCGCTCTGTGCAAGAATGAAGTTGCGTTAGAAGTTTTATCACATTCATACTGGCATGTTTCTAATGTTAGTCATAGAGTGGAAAAGCATGCCTATTCCTTCTTCCTTTTTTTCATTAAACTTAATGTGGATTGAACGTAGATCAATGCCTAATCCAAGCCTTCCCCAAGTGCTTCTCAAAGTTTAGGCTCTCTTACCAATCACCCTTAGAAGTCGCTATGTAGTATGTCCCTATGAATTGCTCCTCATGTCTTAGCTTTCTCCCAAAGCACAAGCAAACAAGTTGAGGCTTCCACTCCGGCATCCCTCTGGAATCAGTCACAGTCACACCCATTGGCACAAGCTTGAAACTTCTGGCTCTTGTCCTGAGTGAAACTCACACCCTAGTGATAGTCACCACCCTCAACGAATTGGCTCAACATGACCATGAGCTACACATAATTGCTTTTCTAGTTTGCTCAACCATAATTTCCATTCACAACTGCCCTGACTACACAACCGATGTTTTCATGTTCATTTGTGGTCACATTAGACATGTTCATCTGTTTACCTTACTTGATAAGGCCCTCCTGACAATATTTTCTTTCTCTTAACAGATCAGTAAAGTCAGCGATCCGGTGGCAGATACAACCTATAAGGACTTGTGGTCAGCAACTGCAAAGGTTAGACTTTGCCAGATTATTATGTCCTTACTGGTTTGTATATTTCCTCCTTGATATTGGTGATTTATGGTGGCACCTATAGAGGGGTATGTAAGGAATTGGTTCAGTTCTTGAAGAAAGAAACAGAAAAATAAACTTTTCTTTATTGAATATTCTCTGTTGGGCAGAATTACTCACACTAGAGGAAGAATCGAATGAATACAAAGAATATCTCCAGGACTTGGAGAGTCTGGTCTCTCCCACCCGAATCACTTTTGTCTAACAGAACACCCCCTTTCTCTCTAACTTTTCTATTTATTCCTTGTCATTTACAATTATCCTCAACTAATTGGGCTTCTCTCATTCTTTTGGGCCTCCTTACATAGACTTCTCTAATTGGGGTTTGGGCCTACTACTCACAGAGTATTGTTTATCAACAACATTGTAGGCATTCAAGATGTTAAGAAATCTGATCCTCCCTTAAACCCCTATATTTAACAATTGAGCTGAATTTTCTCTTGACAACACAGTGGCTAATGTAGTTGGCAGAACAAAAAATATTTTCTTAAACGAACAATATATAGTCACATGTTAATTTTGGTTTTTTGTGAACACACATTATTTTACTTTGTACTCCTATGGTATATAAACTGCTATAAGTGTGACAGGAAAATACTAGGATATACCATGAAGTCTTTGCTTGCATTCCCAGTGATCAGATACACTCAAGGTGTGTGGATTTTTCTCAGTTTTCTTCTGTGATTTCTAACTATCACTTTTTGCTTCTATTTATCCTTACTTATATTGTGTTATACTTTACAATAACATACAGAGCTGCACTTCGGCAAAGCAAGGTTCACTGGAAGGAAAAACTTGGCCATACAACCATTGATTTGGGAATAGCCCCTGATAAGTTAGTCTCTCATGAGAATGGAGAAATAAAAGTAATAGACCCCATAGAGAAATTGAAGTGTGTAAAGGGTCATCTTGTTTCCTTTCCTTTGGAGTTCATGCGTGAGGAAGATCTAAGACCAGCTGTCATTGAGAGTGAGTTTTATGTATCTCCTCAAGTATATCATTGAGTATGGTAGTTTGAAGGCCCAAAAGGGTGATACTTCAGGTATTTTTCTAGCAATTGAGAGGACTAGCATTTGCTTGGTGGAGTTATCTCTAATAATATAAAAAGCATGGAAGATGGATTGGAAGTGAATTGACTTGTCAAGATTGAAGACAAGTGAAAATAAAGCTGAAGGAGAGTGGATACACTATCCAGTTATTAATTACCTATGACTATGAAACAACAGTTTTAGAAAGGGAAGTGATTATGCAGAATCTAAGTTCTTCTTTTTCAATTAAGTGCCGTCCAGTAACTGTCGGAAGTATGTGAAAGGGAAACCTTTGCAAATAACGCAGTTCAGAATTAGATGGCAGTATTTCATTATAAGAATTGATGGCAATATGCCATGCAACCTTCATATATTGTGCAGCATTAGTTCATTCGTTGTAAAGGAAATTGTACATATATATATATATATCTTTTCCTCGATTGACCTGGGAATTGTTCATCTATGACTCTTTTCATGGGATTACTAATAAAAACCGCAAGTTGAAGTTAGTGATATGATTAAATTATGCGCATAATTTTGGTGTTTAGTTCTACTGTTGGTTATGTTTATGAAATTAATAAAGCAATTTTTTTGTTCACATAAGAAATGAATACTTCTGCTGATATTATTTAACAAAAGAAAAATGAAAATAGAACCATACAAATTAAGCACAGTCGTTTGCTTTCTAGTATCAAAACAAAAGTTTATAACACTGTCAAAATAAGTTAAACAAAAATTGACAGTGATTAAAATAAATTTTGTAAGCAACAGTGTACATCACTATCAAAATCAAACATATTATGATAGTTAAATGAAATTAATTAATTAGAACAAGCACCTTCAAGAGTAACCACTATTTAAATTTCTCTTATATCTTTCACATATACAAAATTTCTTTAAATTTTAAAAACCTTATAAATTTGTCAATCAAAATTAGTATTCTATTTCTTAACATGCATAATAAATATCAATATTTATGGTCGGTGCAAGTTACATAAGTATATAATTTCAATTTTAATTAAAATAACAGTGAAAACACTTCAAAAAATTGCATTTTAAATTTTATCCTTGCATATAATTGAAACAGTTGATGCAGAATTAACATGTATGTAAGCATTTACTATCCATATCAGCTTCTCTTTGTTTATGGGTAGAAACTGTTGTATGATGTGCCTAACTATGGAAATGGAAGTATATGCTATATATATCTAGAATTATATGTTATAGAGGAACGTTATCACATAAGTCTCAGTATTCTCATTCCTAACTATCTCTAATGTTTAACCTCTCACATTTTACACGAGTACACTGTGGAGACAGCCATGGCAAGCTAGCACCAATATAATTGTGTCTGCCAAATGGTTCAATTGTTGCTTACCTGCTTATCCTACTTGGGAAAAGGGAATGGAGTATGTCTTGTCAACATCTCGCACTTGCAATCACAACACAGAAGATGTGGTATTTCAACACTAGCAATCAGTAAGCCATAACTTGTGCATGCGCACAAACTTGAATGATTGAGTATACGATGCTTTGTTATTGTGGGGCGTTTCACATGCACATGTTGGTAAAAGAAAGTTGAAACATTGATGGGATTGATCTCAAATCTTTACTGTTATCATTTTTTCTGAATACTACCTTCAAATCTGGATTTTGTACATGGAATGGAATCCGTCACAGTAATTTAACTGTTCCATTACACGTTTCTCACATTTATCAAAAAGCTGCCTGGTTGCATCAATAAATATTCTTTTGTACCACAATGTACTTATCTTTTTGTTTTAGGAATGTTTGGAAGAGAAATAAAATAGAACAGCAAGAAATACAGAAAGAAAAGAAAGAGGATTACTTTTTATATATGGTTTTTAAAAATAATATATAAAAAAATATGGTTTTTTAAAAAAATTATGAATATATGGAATTTAAAATTATTATAAGATAATTTTTTGGTGTAAGTACAGAAATTTAAAAATAAAAAACACAAAAAAAATATAAAATGTCAAATGGGGATTTTTCAAAAATATATAATTTTTAAAAAAATTAATAGTTGTGAATGACGATTTTTAAAATAAATATAAAATTTTTTAAAGTACTGAAAGTCAACATTGGTAATTTTTAAAATTTTTTATATTTTTGTAATTTTCTAAAAAAATCATATTTTCTAACTTCAAAATAAATAAAAAATCATAGAAAAAAAAAAGTCAAACAAAGAAGAGTATAAGAAAAGGCGAAAAAAATATGTTATTTGGATAAGTAAAATTAGAAAATAAATAAATATTTTTTTACATATTTAGATAAAATTTTAATAAAATTTTTTATATAATTTTTAATATTTTTAAATTATATAAATTTTAAAAAATAAAAAAATTCACACACCCATACTCTTAATCTAGGGGCTTATTTATTGTAACTCTCACGTTAAAAAAAGTATCTCCTCACTTTTTAATGTATTTCAAATAAAGCAATATATCAAATTTCATTCTATTTTCCCTCTCATTTTATTTATTCTTAAATAATTCATTAGTTAAAAGCAAACGATAAAGGGTATTTATTTTTAAAAAAAAAAGCTATTATTATTGTATTTTACCAAAATTTTAAATACAACAATATTATATGTTAGGAAATTCTTTTGTACGAACTGCACAAATTGTCGTTGGTACTTTTAATATGAAACGATTAAATAATAAAATAAAAATAAAAGAAATCTAAGGATATGACAGAAATCACAGTTTGTCCTGCTGTATACATTTTTTGTTGCTGTTAATCTATTTTCATTCGTACTCTCTAACTTTTTCTTCGTAATCTTTTTATTATCATTTTTATCTAATACCCTCAAATTACTGGTTAGTTTAAGGGTAAGTTCGGGATATATTTTTTTGGAGAAAAAGGGAAAAAATATTTTTAAATTTTAAATTATAACAATTATATATCATTTATAATAATAAATACATCATTAATACATTTTTTTATTTAAAAAATATTAATTTTAAATATATTTATTTAAAATATAAATTTTATCCTAATCCCTCTCCCATCCAAAGCTCCGTTGCAAGTTAATTATACCCTCTAACTTCAGTGTCTGATGAAATTAAACATTAATTATTATAAGGTCATGCTTTTCAATACGTATTGTTTTTCTTTTTTGACTCAACAAAAAGTGGAAAGGAAGATGGCACTGAAAAAAATTAGATGTATGTTTTGTCGGCATGAAGACGTCGAAGCAAAGCTTCGTCGGTGGCTTTTTTCTTGAAAAGAGTTGGTAAAAAAAAAAATTTGTTATTTTAATTTATTAAAATATAAGAATTTGACGAATTTTTATCTTCCTCTAAAATTAAATATTAATATTTTATTTAAAACGTGCATTAAGACCGTGTTAATTTTACCATCTAAGATGATAATTGGCTGATTGATATTCTCATGTAATGTAAAATCATGATGTATTGCGGAAGAGCTTTCACAGTCCATGGCATGCTACGTTGTAATGGACTTTGTGGGAAAATATCTTATGAGATGATTAAGATTTGTCTCAAAGGTAAGATTGAAAACCTGATTTATTATAGTTATAATTAAATTTCTTGATAAATCTTTTAGGCTTGAGTTTAAACATCAACAAATAAATAAATAATTATGAAAAAAGTGGATATTTACTGTGTTGAAGTTATAAAAAATAACAATAAATATATATTTTTTATAAAATTTTATTATTATTAGTTGTTTATCCTATTTAAAATGTTTATTATTCTTCAAGTTAAGTCCTCTAGTTCAATTTTTTTATGATAAAGGCAGATCTAAAATAATCTGTGTGTGACTAATCCACAAAAGCATTTAGAAACAATTCGTAACAAATAAAATTTTGAATTGAAAATAGAAGTCTAAGATAACATTGAGCTCAAAGCTAGAGTTCTCATCCATTAATTTAACGAGTGTAAGAAAGAAAGAAACTACAAAATTTAATATCAATTAATGCTGCAATTAAGATGTTACTTTTACAAACTCTATATCTCAATGAGAGAAATTTTCCTTCGCTTTGAATTTCAGAAGTCAAAAATCTAGGTTAATTCTATTGAAAGAGCCTATTTAAAGTTTTTGAAAACTTCTATATATAATAACGTTGAAATCTGTGTTCAAATATGCATATATCAGTGAGAGAATCTACCGTCAGTGGCCAACCAACGTTAAAATCGTTGAGAATGCATTCAAATGCATATAATTAAAAAAATGCTAAAGATAATTTTAAATATTTAAAAATAATATATTTTTATTAAAAAATAATATATTTATTACACATTTTTCTTTAAAAAACTTATTCTTAACTAGGTCAGTGTTAAAATATGATATTTATATGTTGAAAGCTATGTGTTATAACGGCTCATTCTTTCATTTACGTCTAAAGTATTTCTATTATATATTCAATATTTTCTCACTCTTTGGTTTCTTGAGTCATTTTTGTGCACACCAATTCAATCAAAACGATCAACTTGGCATGACATCTCTTTTCCCTTGACGAATTTCTACCTATTTAATTAATAATGTTTTTTGTTCGCCCAGGACTCCATCACATCACGTGCTCCTCAGTCACGATGAATCATAAGTGATAATAGAAAACTTTTGCGCACATCCAACTTGAACCCTCTCGTTCGAAGCATGAAGATAACGTGCGAAGTAGAAAGATTGCAAGTTTGTTTATTAAATGCATGTTATCGGCAGGGAAGCACGACCCATACGACCATACAATAAAAATTAGGGTCCACCAAAATTAGGGGTCACTCTCATGCCTTTCTTTCAATTTTCTGACACAATGAACAAGGGAACAACAACAATGGGCATCAGAATGTACGTGAAAGTGGGGCACAATGTTGACCACTCATTCATCTTTCCCATTTGCATTGGGTCACAATCTCACTACCCTTTTAGACGGGAAATATCAAAATCATATAATACCAATCATGACGCTGTGATTTTAATTTACTGTTTGTGTGTGTGTGGAACTTCTGGTTTGGTTTTTTCTTTACCTAAAACAGCACTCCCAAACGAAAGGTGAAGACCGTACCCAAAGAGGCTGACAAAGAATTTTGGGATTACGGCCATGTTTAGATAAATAATTTTTCATCATGTAAAGGTTTTACAATATAAATTTAATTATAAAATTTTGGGTCATAAATTATTCTTCTATCAGTTTGGATATATGGCTAAAGCAAATTTTATTGCTTCGTACCATAAATCCACAATTTTTGGGGACTCCGAGAAAGCATTATATGGTGTTTTTATATTTCAAATACATAAAAGTGAAAAATGGACTATTTGACTTAATCTGCATTGAGATTTATTGGGTTAGATAAAAACATATTTATTTATTTTTGTCACAAATATAAACTCAAACGCAGGTTAAACTCCAATTTTATAATTAAATAAAGACCAA